GGAGGGAGGAAGGAAGGAAGGAAGGAAGGAAGGAAGGAAGGAAGGAAGGAAGGAAGGAAGGAAGGAAAGGGATCGGAGAGGTGTGTTTTGAGAAATGGGAATTGGCCAGGTGTCCCAGAGTGTGCGTGTAAGTGTGGGCTGCCTAGGAGCACAAATGGAAGGGAAGGGATGGAGGGCATGGGTCAGTCACCACGCAGTGGGAGAATCCCACGCAGAAACAGGCAACAGCCTGGCTCATTCAGGGATCTGGAAAAGGTTTGGAGTTGCCAGAGTGTGTAAAGTGTAGGGAGGTAGTACAGCATAAGATACGGTTTTATAACAATATCAAGGCCAAATTGCAAGTCATGCTTAGAGGTTTAGACTTAACCACGAGGGCAATGAACAGCCAATAAAGAGGAGTGGCATGATTAGATGTGCTTCTCAGGGTGTTTTAGCAAAATGTTTTTTCCTTAGTTGCAAAGATAACTTCTTTTCAATGGGGAAAAATTTCGAGAACAAAGTCACTTTTAATCTCAGTACTCATACGAAACTCTTAATCTTCTCAAGTGTATCTTCCAGAAGAAAATCACAAGGAAAAGGAGCTGCCTACTATGTGCTGGGTGCTTCACGGAGTTTATCTCACTTAAAGTAATACTAAGGTTTGCTGCTCCAAGTAGGGTACAGCCAAAGGTTGTGAGGAGGGCCTAGGACGAGGAGGAACTGGCTTGGCCTTCGTTACTAAGTAACCTAAGATGACCATCTCTACTCCAACAGCAGGGCCTAATGTTCGCACGGTGCCCCGCTGGGAAGAAGGGATGGGGCATGGGAAGCTGGGAGGAGAAACAGCTTTGGGAAGAGGAGATCAGGGAGAAAGTTCTCTTCGAGATGTCTGTGAGACACACAGTGGATATCCATATAAGTTTGGTACTTCGGGGAGAAATCTGGGCTGGAACCAACCATTTTGGAGTTGATGTTATATTAGAATTAAAGCTTGGGCAATGGGTGTATGTGCACTGGGGAGAGCAAAGAGAAAAGGTCAAGAACAGAAGCTGTGGGAATGGAAGAATTTAAGAGGCAGAGCAAGGGAGACCCCCTCGGGATTGTGAAAGAGGGTTAAAGAAGAACCAGGAAAGAAAGACGTTACACGATTTATGGAGTGTCGAATATCACAGAGTTAAGACAAGGTGAGCAGTGGAAAGAAGACACAGGATTTAGCCATTTTTCAGTGGGAACTTGGGCAGAGCACTTTCCCACGGGGGTGGAGGGGCCTGACTGCAGCAGGTGGAAGAATGGATGGAAAGGAGCGAAGGCAGGCTGCACTTCTGGAGAACTTGACTATGAAGGGAGTGGGTTTTGCATTGGATTTATTTGTCCTGAGACACTGGAGAAAATAGCATATTTTTAGGAGAGAAAGGTACCAATAAAGGCTGAATACAGACACTAGAGGTGAAGGAATAACCAGGGGAGCAAAGTTCGAGAGCAGTTTTTCTCAACCAGGGGCCAGTCAATGTCTGGAGACATTTTGGGTTGTCCCATCTGACTTGGGGGAGTCATCACTGGCTTCTAGTGGGTAGAGGCCAGGGACGCTGCTCAACATCCCACAACGCACAGGTCAGCCCCCTACAGTGAAGAATTATCTGGGCCAAATGTCAATAGTGTCAAAGTTGAGAAACTTTATTCTAAAAGAAGGAAAAACATATTAAGAACACAAATGCTGGGATAAACGCCATCTGATGTCATTAAATAAATATCTGTCAAATAAGTAAATGAATTAAAAGTTTCATCTGGAAACCTTATCATTTCAGCATGGCATGAAGAATTTGAATACTATGTAGGTACTACAGACTCAGAAAAGACACAGGTTCATACTCTCAGTTTTGAATAAAATCACATTGCCCAGAGAATTAAGGAAGGCTTGGAAGATGGCATGGCAGAAGGGAATTCACATTTATTGAGTGTCTACTGTAAGCCAAGCGCTCTATGTAGTCGAGCACTTTGTACAGTCACGTGATTGATATGCACTACACTTCAGCGAGCAAGGTATTAGCTCCATTAACCGAGGAGGAAACAGACTCACGGATGTTAAACCAATTTGTCCACGGTTACCCATGTGGTAAAAAATGGTACCAATATTGAAACCCAGTTACGTCTCACTCTAAAGTCCAAGTTCTCCGCTCTATACTATGTTGTCTTCATGCTATAACCAAATCAAGTGGCATCTCAGCCTTGAAAGATGAGCAGGAATTTGCCGAAGAGCGGAGGAGAGAGGAATGGGAGCATTCCAGGTGTTGTGGGGCACACGTAAAGGCCCTATGGTGCGAAACAGCCAAGCCGATGAGAAACAGATGGTACATGGCCAGGGAAGGGGCGGGGTGGAACCTGATGCAAGGGGCGGATTAGTACTGTGCTCTCCATATAGCTAAGTCTTTTCTGGAAGTCACCACTTCTTAATTTTAGCCTTTCCTGATACTATTCAATCAACTAGAGCCTCCCCATCCTTGGTTTTAATGGTTTTCCTTTTACCCTGTGCTAAATTTTCCATATTCCGAGTATAGAGGTATCTAAATATCGGCTTAGGGTTTATCAATCTTGTCCTTTTCTATGACAGCAAAAACGAGCTGTGTAACTTACAACTTCCTTGACAGAGACACTCATTTTACAAGGCAAAATGAGTTATTGATTAATCTGAGACTATTTAAGCACCTGTTAACCAGCAGTAGGCACGCAATGGCCGGGAACATAAAACTAGGCTGTCAGGGAGCAGCTCTAACTTGTCAACTGTGATGCCAGATAAATGTCACCCTCTGCTCCGGCTTTGTAATAGTTTCTTAAAAAATAGAAATAAGATGTACTCAGTTGTACTTGCTAAGGCATTTCCTGTTTACAGGGTGTGTGTTCTGACAGCTGTGTAAGAAAGCGTGACCTAAGGGCTTTCGGATCAGATTGCCCTTTGAAGTTACTAAGTGTCAAGCTAGGGGATTACTCCCACCCGGGCCGGAGCCCAGTCTCCTGACCTTGATCCTGGATGTTGTGTGTTCCCGGCTGCAAGGGTACGTGGAGGTCTGGGGTCTACTCTGTCCTCATGGAGTATATCATTTGAGTGGAAAGGCAAGAAAGAATGGTTTTGAAGGTATTCTGCAGAGATTCCTGTATCTTCTGGTCCCAGAGCTGGGATTGTCAGGCACCAACCCACGCTGGCCCTCTAAACTCTCTTACCCATCCCCAACGTCTTGCCCTGCTTGAGAAAGTGCAAAAGGGCAGGGTGGTGTACCCATCGCCCTCAGGGTGAATCTCATGTCGCACAGGAAAAGATTAATGCACAAAGATGTTTGTCACAGCGTTATTTAGAGTAGCAGAAGCCTGAAAACACCCTAAATCTATGAACACAGGAGCATGGGTTAAAAAAAAAAGTATGCTAACAGTGAGATAGTACGCTACTACTAATAATTGCATGTAAGAGTGTTAGTAATATAAGAAAATGCTTGTAATGATAGTCAAATAAGCAAAACAAGATACGCAACTGTATATACAACTGATCTTTTAATGGAAAAGCATGCGTAGAAAAAGGATCAGGAAGCTTGGTCCCATGGTTTGGATCCACTTCCATCGGATCTGACAGTCACTCATCAGACCCCAGCAGCCAAAATGGTGAAGCAGGTAGAGAGAAAGTATGCTTTCCAGGAAGCCTTGAACAGTGCAGGAGATAAACTCACAGTAGTTGACTTCTCAGCCACATGGCGTGGGTCTTGCAAAATGAGGAAGCCTCCCTTTCATCCTCCCTCTGAAAGGTACTCCAATGCTGTCTTCCTTGACGTCAAAGCAGATAGGGTGATCGTCAGAATGTTGCTTCAGAGTGAAGTCGAATGCATGCCAACTTTCCGGTTTTTCTTTTTTCTTTCTTTTTTTTTTTTAATTTCTTTTTCAATTACCAACCTTCCAGTTTTGAAAAAGGGACAAAAGATGGATGAGTTTTTTTGGAGTTAATATGGAAAAACTGGAAGCCACCGTGAATGAATTACTCTAATTGTGCTTTCTGAAAACAGAACCAGCCATTGGCTATTTAAAACTTGTAACCTTTTTAGTTGCAATTAAGAAAGAGCAGAAGAATGTATAACAAGACACACTATGGATCAGTTTTACTATCAGGAAAGGGCAAACCTCTCCTATGTTGGAAATGCTTAAAGATAAAAGGTGCCTCAAAGAGGGGAGAAGAGAGAAATATTGTCTCTCATAGTGTCTTTTACAGTCTCCCAATGCCTTTAGACTGATTCATTAGTAAATAGGAAATAATTTATAACCGACTAGTATGGCTGGTGACCAGAATGCCATTATTTAATAAAAGTAGAAACATTAGCAGCTATTACAACCCCAAACAAACAAAACCCAAATTTGAATCTTATTTAGTAAAGATACTAGATCTAAAAGGGTGAATGCCAAATGCTGGCCATGAAATTCTCACAAGAGTCTGTAGCTTTCCACTGCAAAAATAGAAAATTAAGTATCTTTCATCTTATTTTCACACTCTTTTTTAAAAAAATCTTTTCTTACTAATATTAGGAGCTGTGGACAATAAGGAAAGAGATTGCTTCTGTGATACGTGGACCAGAAAGCATGCGGTAGAAGTGAGAACTCTCTCTGGTTTCTTCGTGGTGGTGTCATCAGTCGGACGGGATGGGTATCACCGCTGCTCTTCCCTTAATTCTCCCTCTCAAGTTTGGACACCCCCTTTCCTTAACTAATGCAGGGGAGGACTAACAGTGAAGTCACTTAGTTTTTTAGGTATTGAAAACAATATATACCATCCCAAATAATAGATTGCTAGCTCTATCTATTTTTAAACTGCCTATGTGTCTTAAATTTTTCTTGAGAAAAATAAAAAGGGACACTGAGAGCATGTGCTCTATGAAATATTTTAATTATAAAGGCCAGCGATTAAGGAGATTAAACAGATATAGACGGCGGGCATAAGCCAGAAGCCTGTTGTCAAAGATTAGTGCTTACGAGGCTTGTTTATTGTCCTCTCCAAAGGAAGAAAAAAAAGCAGTCATAGGGTTTTTAATGGAGGTCTGCGCCATTAAGCCATCGTGTAATTTTTATCCTTTTTCGCTCCTTTTGCCAGAAGGCATGACAATATCCTCTGTGGCAAATTAACTTCTTTTGCCTTCTTACACCCCAGCTGTGTGGGGTGTAAGCCTGGGCCCCGCCACTTTCCTTCTGGACTCGATTTCCTTATTTGGAAAGGAAGGCATCGGTTCTTATAGGTCTGATATTCTATGTTTCTATAAAAGAAAATGTTTAGATAGTTCTAGGACATGAATGATCATATGTTGGCCATTCTGAGACACATTTAATTGTAAGACACACCATTATTTTATGTATCGCCAAGAAAAAAAAATCCTGCCAACTAAACTATGGCACGATGCCTTAACTACAACCCTGTAACCCGAAAATTAGTCAAACCAGCCTCTCATGGTTTTGAGATATGGGATGATTCTCCGGGTCTTCCATTGCATTGCTTGGCTTATCTTAGGCAATTCTTTGTGTATATATCAGTAATAAACATAACACCATTTTATCCCTTTGTGGGTATTTTTTCTTTCGAGGGTCCGATAAAACACTTGGTTCTTGTTTTTTGCAATAATATGTGGAATTGTGGTAATGTCTTCAATGATAAATATCTGCTTTACAAGTATGAAATTCATGTCCCACTATTTTCATGCCTTTTGCAAATACAATAACTTTTCATTTCAATGCCAAACGATTGTGTAATTTTGGGGATTTTAAACAGCAACTTAGCTCAACATGTTATTACCAGCAGTATACTTAACTCAGCTGAAGTAATGACAACATGACTAAGTTTGAGCCTGAGCAGAGCATGACAACTACACCACGACCTCAGCCTGGCTGACATCAGCGTAAGAAGTGTTCCAATTGTTTTCAGAGCTATTCGAAAATTGGAGGGGTTGGTGGGGGGGATGTGAGGAATGTGTGTTTCGGAACTAATGGATTGGCACGTGTCTTTTTTACCTCCAGTGATGGCACATAGTAAATATTCAATAAATATTTTTAAATTGTTGAAGGTTCGGAATGAAAGGATGGATGAAAAGATAAATGAACAAACAAACAAGTGGCTTATGAGGAATGCAGAAATGACACCTCACTGCCCTCTTTCAGATGGCTTCTCATTTGGTGAAACCACCCTGCAGTCTTGACTGACGTACCGGAGCTGGCTGGGATCATGAGTCTTCCAACCTTCACCTAGGACTTGGTATCTGGTTCACAAACCTTCCCCGCTCCCACCTCTTCTGCCTCAATCAGACTGTGAAACTCCAGGGTCCACGTGGAAGACTCACGTCACATTATCTCACATTTCCCTGACTCCTCAACACCAGCGGCCTTGCCCTCTAAACCTCCTCCCAGCCCTCTTCCTCCTCTATGTGTTTTAACCACTTCCCTGTCCATGTATTTTGAGGACTCTATAACGTTCCATCCTCGATTATTGACTTCCTGCCTTCTGTACTTGTGCACCCAGCAGCTATAAGCCATCAGATACATTTGCTCCAGCTTCTGGTGGTTCTCAAGCTGCTGCTAACCTGTCCCTTCTGTCATTCTTCTTAACAGCTCTTCTGACCTCTTCCTCAAACCCTCAACACCCTCGTTTTCAGCAAACTATCTTTCTACTCTATGGGAAAATTAAAGCCATCAGGTTGAAATTCCTTGAGACCGCCCCCAGCGCCTAAAAACTAAGAACTAAAAACTCTAACGATACCCTTTTCTCCTCAGCTCCTGTCTCGGCGTAACTTTTTCTCCAGTTCATGGCTCATCCTCCACCTGGTCTCTGCCTCCTCTTCAGGGAACTCTCACTCTATTAATCATCTCCTGTCTCTCCTTTACTCTCCGCTTCCCCTTCATTTGATCTTTCCTGATGGCATATAAATATTTTAATCTCTCCTCTCTTTGAAAACAACGTCCACGCTTCCACACGTTGCTCTCCTCTCCCAGCTCGAGCCCCTCTCTCTCTCCTTCAAAGGCAAGTGTGTAAAGTCGACCTATCACATGCCTGTCTCCACTTTCACCTCCCATTCACTTGACACCTAATCCTTCATCATGTGCCCCGCCTACGTCTTTGGCCTTTTTCCCACTAAGCATCCTTAGACTTTCTTTTTTCTGATCACACTTGACCATATGCACAGGATGTTTCATGCCCTTGAGCCTCCTCCCCGGATGCTCTCCTCTCTGGTCCAGCTAACTAACTGCTGAGCATTCTTCTCAAGTATCTCCATCCCCCGGAAGACTTTCTTAACGCCCCGATTAGTTGTCCCTCATCTGTTCTACGAGAACATTCTGTGCATACCTCTGTCACTTCTATTGTCATTGCTGGTTTACTTCTATGTCTTGTCCTAGAATGTATGCTCCGTTAAGCAAGGACCATTATTATTTGGCATAAGCTGTTTTAGATATTAGTAGAATGAAATGAATGAACAAATGAGTCACTGAGACTGAGTCTAAAAATAAGGTCAAGTGAATAAAAAGTTGTTTTATACTCGAGGCAGAGGGAAAATTCGTGATACACTAGTGATAACAGTGAAAAAAGTATGAAAAAAAAGCTCTTCATTAAATTAGATATCTACATTTACTTACATGTTTTTCTAAATTGTATCATTTCCTTAAATGAATGTGTTAATACAGTTATTATGAATGTCTGGGTATCTTAGTGATATTTCAATTTTTAAGTGGAAAAACCCAATTCATAAGGCAAATATCTTAAACCGAGCTCCCAAGGAAATAAATTCGAACGGTGCCTAAGTACTCAAAACACAAATCCAGGCACCAGAGTACACACCTCAGGCAGTTCAGGTTTTCTACCCAACAATTCAACTTGGTATTTAAATTTCTCCAAGATTTTATCCCAACCTATCTTTCACCATTCTTCTGTACTCAACCGTGATACCAGACAAACTGAACTTCCAAACACACCTTGAGAACACGCCGCATTTTCTCAGTGCTTTATTTTCTAAACCCAGGCCTCTGTCCCCTCCACCAAGAATCTCTTTGCTCCATTTCTAACTATTTAAATATTAAATGTATCTTCACCCATGAACACTTCTCTGATCCCTTCTGCAGAGATTAATTTCTCCTCTTTTAGGATTCTCATATCACTTATCATATGTTTTTTTCTTTAACGTTTGGGTAGCAAAAATTACTGTAAATTATCACATTTGGTTTTATATTGAAATTTTTGTCTATCTAACATTTTTTCAACCCCCTAAAAGATGATATGTAACTCTTTTAATGACATATTTCAAGCAAATATATTTTAAGTACAGAAAAATAATATAATACTCTATCCACACTGGTATATGATCGTTCTAATGCATGTGTTTTGCTGGCATATATTACTGAATTGTATAAATATTCCATAATCTATTTATCTATTCTCTTCCAATTTGTTGCTATTTTGAAATAATAAATATACTTGGACATGATCTCTTGTGCACATGTAAAAGGGTTGTTCTAGGATACCTTTCTGTGACTCCTATTCTTATGAGTGGAGTGTTAGATTATATGCATCTTCAACTACCAGTTTGTCCTCACTTGCCTGCAATGCCAGCCACTATTGTAGGCACTATTGTAGGAGATGATGCTTGTGAACAAAAGGAAGTCCCTGTCCTCATGGAACCTGTATGAAAACAAGCACCCCTATCCTCACCAACACGCAGACTTTTTAAAAATTTCATTAGTCTGATAGGTATAAAGTGATACCTAGTAGTTTTATCTCTGATTACACATACATTGACCATTTTTTCTTACATTTAGTCAACAATTTTAGCGTTCCTTTTTGTGAAGCACCTGTTCATATCTTTTGTCCATATTCTCCTGTCGAGTTGTCTTATTCTCAGTAATTTATGGGATATATTATTCATAATATTAATTCGGGAGGTTCTATACATTGTAAATATACACTGCTCTCTGCTGGCTTGACC